GCACACACACACACATCAACACACACACACGAAGTTATTTTGTCTTTAATAACAACAGTAGTTACTTTCTTCACCTTTGCTTTTGAAAAGTATACCGATAATACCTGTAATGAAGATGTCTTGAAAGAAATGGACTGACGAAGAGAACTGGTTACTTACGTTCAGGCGACAGTCTGCTTAGTTGAATCAGATGAGAGGGGGCAAAGCTGGATTACATGGTAAAGATGGCAAAGTTGGAGGAGAGGAGAAGATGCTCAACAGTTTGGCATCATAGACGCGTTGATCGATTCCCGCGTGCAGTTTTCACGGAGATGTTTGGGATCTTCACTGTAGCTGGGAGTTCATGTTTTGTGTCACTCTCACGACAAGCCGCTAGCCGTTCTGCCGAGAGAGACCCTTGTCATGCCAACGGTTTCCTCAGGCACATGGTGCTTGCTACTCGTAATTATAAAACCCATTTGTTTTGGTCAGCTTCACACCGGTATATGTACTTCAGAGGGCAGGGCCTGACTTCAGTGTTATTAAGGTCAAGCTGTGTGCCAGGTCAATTATTAAAAGTCCGTCTCAATGTGGAATTGAACTTATGACTTCCGAGTCGGTAAGCAAGCGCCTGGCCACTGCGTTGTTGCGGCTTTCTGTGTATAATTATATGCTTTATTCCTGTCGAGAATGGCGAGTTTCCTACGCAAAATAGTAGGATATGGTATGATAGAATCACATATGTTGAGCTTTTGGAGAGAACTAAACAAAAGTAAGAAGAAACTCCACAGGGGAGCATGTACAGCCGGGGTCTACAGATCATCAGTAGAAGTAATCTCTCGTCGACAAATGTTTCGGCCTACGAGCTCCTAGACATTTTCAGAGAGTGGGCCCACCTGAGTTCATGAGGCTCAGGGTTGGTTTCTCCTGCTGCACGTATTACCAGATGCTACCGGATAGGGACAAAACGAATTGGTGACTTTGCAAAAGGTACTGTGAGATAACAAGTCGTTGCGGTAGCATAATTAGAGCAGTCGGCATACCTGGACGACCAAGTTGGAAGCTTACGTTTGGTTTACCGGACACATGTTGGACTTTGTTGGCAGGTGGCAGAGGGAACACTGGCAGACAATTCGGACACGATGGACTTTCAGGGCTAGGACATTCTTTTCCACCACCCGCACCAGCTCACCGAGGCCTGTCCCCCACGACGTTCCGTTGTGTCCAGAGCCAGCTAGATTCCCTCTCAGCAACCTCTTCCAGTTGTTTAAGTGTCCGTTTGCGTTCATTACCTCGTAAGCCTTATTGTTTCATCACATTGTAAAGTAAAGTGGAAATGAGACCTCTTGCGCGTACCTAGACGGCGAAGATTCTTACTGTGTACGCTTCGTCTCTCCTCAGACCGGCTGCTAAGTCACTGTATTTCTCAAGCTTATACATATGGCTTTCGTCCATTCGCGACTCATACGGCACGGTAGCTCAATCAGGATGAGCTGACGTTTCTCCGCAGAGTGGACAACTATGTCAGGTCGCAGGCCAGTCTTCACGGCCAGGCAGGTCGCACAGTCAAGCATAGATGGAGCATTTGCAAGTTTAAGTGAACCGTGAGATGAAGAAAAGACGCTGGCGCGGATAGGACATACGCTGAGAAAACATAAGAACAGTATAATTAGAATAGCAATAAAGGCGCCCCCCCCCCCCCGCCGCCAACCACCCAAAATAAAAACATTATCAACCACGAAGTGAACTAGAGAGTGAAGTTGAAAAAGATGTTGAGGGTGGTGGTCGGGATTGGGGGGGGGGGGGGGGCTACATATTGGATCGGGGGATCGAACGGCTTGGCGAGAGTTGATTGAGGGCCTATGTTCCATTCGGGGAGAGAAGGCAGAAGGAAAAGAACGAAAAAAAAAAAGTATGGCTAGTATAAACGCTGCCGGTGCCTCTGGCAATGTAGTTTTATTTTTAAGTTGTTCAATTATGTATGCTGTGCAGCGCTGCGTTGTAAATTGTCTTCCATTGAGAACCGGCGTCTTCACTAGCAGACAGGCGATGAAGAGAGAACTCCGTGAATAAGGAGGCTGAGCTAGCGAATGCATACATAGATCACGAGACGAGGTGCCTTAACCACATTAAGGTAGTTCATTGGCTAGAGTGTGCCTTTGGACCATATTTTTTTTTTTGGGGGGGGGGGGGGGGGGGGGGGTTTCCAGATCCGTATCGGGGCAGAATTTCATTGGTTCTGATCCGTATCAGTACGTACTCTCAGGCCGGCCCAGCATAAAACAGGTAGCAGGTAATGTCCTGGCCAGAAAAGACGAGCGACGTGACATTGACCATGTGATCCGTCGATTAAAATTATAGGTCTGGGGTCAAATGCTGAAAACGCGACCTGCGTATTTTTTAAATCTATTCATATACTTTAATGAAGCCGTCGATGACCTTTTGACCAAGTCACCCATGGAACCACGTTTGGTGAACAAACATTAAGAGTCTCCTCGATTACACTGGTCTTTTGACAATAATCTCTTGCCTTCCGTCGCAGTTATTTGTAATACAGTACATATCACTCAGTGTGAGGTCTTGGTCAGATATAACTGACCTACTGTATAACAGTAGTCCGTACTATGTGTTCTCTGCTAACGTCAGATATGGGACGGCCTATACCAGACCAGAAATCCCACTTGTACCAACGGAATCCAATGCGAAACTTCTTTCTTTTGCTTCTGCCTTTCTATCCCCCAATGGAGCATAGGCCCTCAACCAACTCACGCCAAGTCGTTCTATCCTTCGCCATTGCATGGAGCTTCCCCCATGTCCTCCCCATCATTCTAACTTCATTCTCCAGCTCTCTTCTCCGTGTGTTTTTTGGCTTTCCTTTATTCCTATGCCCCTATGGGTTCCAATGCAAAGACGTTCTGGGTATTCTGTTCTCCTGTTTTTCTCAGTGTGTGTCCAATCCAGCGCCAGCGTCTTTTCCTCACCTCTTGTTCCACTGGAGCCTGTTTAGTTCTCTCCCAAAGCTCTACATTAGTTATTCTATCATACCATTTAATTCCCTCTATTCTGCGCAGGCACCATGGCTTAGGCGTTGCGAACACGCTTTGTAATGCTGGGGTGCTGGGTTCGATCCCAGCTGCAGACGATTTGTCTTGCGTTGGTTGCGACAGTACTATCGAGATCTGATCGTTTAGGAAGCAGTGGCAAACTACTGAACGTAAATTTAACCTTAAAAAACACCGTAACAGCCAAATAATGCTTGGGTTGGTTTTGCAACGTCTTGTATTGGATACGGAACTAACTTCAGGTGGAGGAGTTTATTGGGGAAGAGACTAGCCTTATCCGGATACGAGAAAATGCAACCTGAAAACCAAATGTTATGTCAAAGGCAGACTAGGGCCTCAGGCTTGGTTGGCAACTGCTCTAAGAGGGAAAGCTCAGTGGCCTAGGGCACTGCTTTTCTGATCAGGCAGCTTCTGCAGAATGCTTTATGCCAAACGTATTTTCAGTTAACAAAGCGAGCAGAAGAGGGATCCTTCTGTATGGGCAACACATGGTCTCTGCAATACTGCCCATTAATTGGGCTATGTAGAGGAGGAACTTTGTCACTGACCTGAATCGATGTCGCCATGGGCTGTGATTTCCATGCATCCTTGTGGCACACCTGAACACTCGTCTAAAAAGGTGCTAACGTTTTTGTTTGTTTTCCCTATGCATTTCAGAGTTCAGATGTTTGACTTTTTACGAGTTAAAATGTTACAGTTAGAAGCAGAACTAGATGACAGTTGGATAAAAACGGGTTACTGCTATGTGCTCTGCTAGGGGTTTGATTCTACTCGCCACATTGCTGTATTGACGTGCACATAGTTGCTAGGACATACCATACGACGAACGTTCAGTTATTGACCTTTATTCGCTGATACAAACATCTCACTGACTTATCACATTCTTTCGTCCTCGTGGTCGCTATGCATGGCTGATTTATGATGACCTGGCCAACTCTCTCACACGGTGATTCGCTCCGTTCGTATCTCTCCGATCACACATCAGTATCACACTAACGTATTGTACCTGGTATTAGTACATGCTGAAACTGGCAATCAGGAAAACATTCTTCTCTGCTCCTGAAAAATTAATTTTTTTCTCCATTCTCGTCAGGTGTTCTCTCGCGTACGACCACATACAGCTAGGTCTGAACTTCAACTGTCTTACTACCCTTTTCCCCGGAAATTCACAACATTACAGTTACTGTAATAGACAAATAGGACCCTCAAAGAAGCATTTCACGAGTCTCTGTGGCAGAGCACTTATGGTTTACAACCGTGTGCAGTGACGCTGGTTCACATCTCTCGATCTTACCTTTACCATGGCAAGTGGTTAAGACGTTTGCCTCGCGCTCGGAATGAAGGTGGTGCAGTCAGTTTCAAACTGCATCTTTCGGTTCACTAATGCAGTTTTGTTTTAAACAGAGAGCCATGGGAATCATCGCTGGGGCTAAAGAATTCGTGCTTCGGCCACGCTGTCGGCAAAGGTTAGTCGCGAAGATGCACCGTCATATGTGGTACTGTGAGGTTACAGTTTAGTCTATTTAAACTGAAACTTGGTAGCTCGTCATAACAAATAAATAGACTAATACACCTTTGCTTCAACTATCGACGTATGCGACTTACGACTAGACACACACACACACACACACACACACACACACACACACACACATATATATATATATATATATATACACACGCGCGCGCGCGCACACACACACAATGGTAAATGAAGAAAGATAATTACATTGTTGAAAATTATAAATTCGACCTACTACCAATTCGGCTTAACGACATGTTAGTCGAAACGGAACTAGGTCATAATTTAGGGAGACCTTGTGTGTCAGTAAACGTGTGATGAGTTCTCTGGTTCTTAAAGGCTTAAACTGCTACTGGTACATTTATTTGTAAATATTATGTAACAAGGTTGGAAAAGATGGCTTGATGCTATTAATGTTTTTATTCTGTGCCTTTCAGGCCACCAATTTACACAAGTTTAAACTGCACACCTATGGCAGTCCCACGTTCTGTGATCACTGTGGTTCACTGCTGTACGGGCTCTTACATCAAGGTCTCAAGTGTGACTGTAAGTAGTTAGTTCTGTTCGCTATGTGGCTGGGTATTTGTCTTATGTGTGTCCATATGTGTTTATATATATATGTGTGTGTGTGTGTTTTGTGTCTTCGTGCGCGTGTTCGCTCGCTTGTGTGTGCGCCTAAGTATGTGTGTGTGTGTGTGGGGGGGGGGGGGGGGGGGAAGTGTGATTTAGTCTTCTTCTGGATCCCAGCCACCAGCGGGCCTCCAATGAAGTTATGACCAGCCATTTGTAACTTGCAGTCTTGTGCATGTAAGAACTGACCCTGATTCACAGGTATAGAGGTAAACCTGATCAACCGTAAGGCCTGCTTTGTACATATTTCTACATTACCGTACATGTCAGGCGATGCTTCATTTGCGGAAGTACTAGACATAGTAAAAGGTATTGCTAAGTTGACTTGGTATCCTGGATGTTGTATGTACTTATGTGTCTGTATTCGGCCACAAGCTTTCGCCCTGATCTTACCTCGTGACTTCCGCACCCCGACAGTGGTGCAGACATTTTAAAGAAGCTACTTTCCAACAAGAACTGGTTACAATTATCGTCGGAATAAGATATTCCATATAATTTTGGCATACTTTTACCAGATGAAAACTGAAGTTGACCGTGACACTTGGAATGTTATAGCGGAAGACAGGCGGAAAAGTTAAGGAGAGAGAGAGCGAGAGAGAGAGAGAGAGAGAGAGAGAGAGAGAGAGAGAGAGAGAGAGAGAGAGAGAGTATTAGACTGATATCATACAATGGAAGAACATCTTTGAACACTTTTTAATATTGCCTATTCCAAGAGGAGGGTATTGTTGCTGTTTTTGAATTCTCTAAAAGGCTGGGCTGACTTTTAACTTTTCACCTCTTTCAGTGCCAAGCAGGCGTTTGGGTTATCTTGTTCTGTTCTAAGAAGTTGATATTTTAATTAAATAACGGTCGGGGCGCAGGAAGTAAAATAATAACTGTACGGATATTATAATAGTTACATCCCATTGTGAGGAAAACAAGAATAGACCCACTGCCTCCCCAACAAGCATGTCGTAAGAGTCATATTTGTTAAACGTATGTTCACGCAACACTCAATTTCTGGAACAAGACTAAAGTCTTGTGGAAAAATAACTAAAACTTTCCACCGGAGTTTACAGCCTTTAGAAGAAGATAAAAGTTAAACTTCCTCGTGTGGGTTCCAGGCCAGTTTTTCCTCTTGTCTATCGCGCGCTACCTGTTAACTTGTTCAGTCCCAGATAGTTGCTACTGTAACACTTTCTATTGTACATTTTGTGTGATGAAAAGTACAGCTTTAGGACAGAATGTGTTCGAGTAATAACTAGGATGGAATGTTTTAACATAACGTAAGTGTCGGCTTTGAAGAGTAACCAAATGTATACTATATAAAAGAAAAACAATGAACAGATTTCAGGTTCCCTGGCAACAAAAGAGTTAATAATCTGGCCACCGTGTAAATATGATCGCTGCATTTCGAATTCTCTGTGTCTCGAACAATCGCATAAAGCTTCGTCATGTTGAAGCCACAACAATAAACTGGTTAAATCAACATTTTTGTAGACAGAAGGACATTGTCGTTAACCTGCTTTGCCCTGGAAGCTTTGAGAGAGAACTAAACAAGTTCCGGTAGAACAATTGGTGAGAAAAGGACGCTGGCGTTGGATAGCACACACGTTGAGAAAACCTAGGAACAATATAACAAGATTGTCTTTGCATTGGCATCCACAGGGGCTTGGAAATATAGACAGAAGGGGGAAAACGTGGAGAAAAAAGCTAAAGAATGCAGTTACAGACACGGGGAGGATACGGGTGGGCTGCAAGCAATCGGTAAGGATAGAACGACTTACCCTGAATTGGTTGAGGGCCTATGATAAAGGGCAGAAGTCGAAGGAGAAGAAGAAGAAGAAGAAGAAGAAGAAGAAGAAGAAGAAGAAGAAGAAGAAGAAGAAGAAGAAGAAGAAGAAGAAGAAGAAGAAGAAGAAGAAGAAGAAAAAGGAGGAGGAGGAGATAAGGTAGACAGCTGGCCGTTTCGTCTCTTACTACCACGATTCGTTATATGCGAAAACAGGCTAGTCTAACAGTCTGGTCGCAAATTTGCTTTTTAAACTGATTCTAATTGCTTTTGTCCGGTGTCACTGTCATTGTTATATAAACAGTGTTTCCCATTCGACACTGGCAGTTAACTGTTAAAAAAATAAAATTGTCGGAAAGAATAGAACAGCATAAAATGAAAAAAAAATAAATAAGATTAGCCAGTGGGGGAGTGAGATTGAGAGAGAGAGAGAGAGAGAGAGAGAGAGAGAGAGAGAGAGAGAGAGAGAGAGAGAGAGAGAGAGAGAGAGAGAGGGGGGGGGGTGGACGAAAACTTTTTTCACAGCTGGAAAGAAACAGATAAATGTAGAGGAAGACACAGAGAGAGAGAAAAACGATGAAAAGGTAGACAAATAAGGGAAGCGTAAGAGGGTAAGAAGGAGAGAAACGATTTAAAAAGAGAAAGAAAGAGATAGACAGTGAGAGACAGACCTTGCTCATTTCTGCTAGTTTTTCCCCCGCATGTAGTCTACAGTTTTAATACCCGGCAGCTAAATCTGGCTTCTGTAACCTATTAGACGAAGCTGTATCGCTCGAATTGTTAAAGAAAGCCATTAGATTGATGCACTCTTGTTCTTTTTCTTCTTGTTGCAGGGATAATCTAAAGAACATATCGATTACCCCCGCCCCCCCCCCCCCAGCTCGCTCCCTCCGGTTTGTCCCCCCGTTCTCAGTCTTGTTCTGTCTCGTCTTTTCTACTGATGTCGTGGGCTACAACCTCTGGGACTGGTTTTCATTTAGATTGTTAAATTGTGTATGCAAAAAGGCCTAGTACTTTAAAATATCTTGTATGTATAGATCCCGCGATTTTTCTGTATGATACGCAATGAACGAACTGTTCTTTTGGTTATTTTTCTTTCTTTTTCTTTTCTTGTGCAGTTGACTTGTCTTGTTGTGGTTTACCGCTAGGCTGCCATTTCTGCTTTGCCTTTCCGTCCAGGATGTCCAGGTTTAGAAAACTCCTAATTAGTCACCTTTGCTCACCCGCATGCTTGTTACAGAGCGGTGGAGTCTTTTCGAACAAGCCCTTTCCATTATAACGCTTTACCCTTCTTCCACATTTAACCCACCCCAACCTGCACAGTGTGAAGTATCTTTTGACAGGCTGAGATGACAAGTGTCTATACAACATTGAGATGAACATACAATGAGTGGAGTCCGCGGTAACGCAACTACCCTTCTGGCTCGGTAATTATGGGTGGAAATCTGGAGATTCATGCGGTCGGGGTTCAGCTTCGTAAAGCAGCAGTAGGCAACCATCAGTCCCTGGGGACCATGGAGCTGTGCCGGGTTTGGGGAAAAGCGTCTGCTATGGCTGTAAAGTCCATTACGGGAGTGACAGTCTCTGCCACCCCCTTGTGGGTTCCGGGGCCCCATTGTGGGGAAAACAAGAAAAGACCCACTGCCTCCCCAAAAGCATGTCTTAAGAGTCGACTAATTGGAGAGCTTCCTTTAAAGTCGGAGTGCATCTGCCGGAGAGGCAAGGAACCAACAGTCTGTATTCAAGAGAATGAGATCTGTAAAACTGGTGCACACGCAACACTCAGGTTCTGGAGCAGGACTGCAGTTCAGTAGTGGACGAGCAAACAGAACTTTCCGCCAGAGTGTACAGCTGGTGAACGTGAAGAAGAAGAAGAAGAAGTCTCTGCCACATAATCCACATAACAACGTTGACACTATAGTTCTGATAATGGTTTCTCTCTCAGACGTCTCTCCTCTCTATAGCTTGAGGCGTTTGGCCTCTTTCAAACTGCGACTGTCTTTCACTGTCTGCCTCTAAAGGAGTGAGTCTGCAGCTGATCTCTCCCAAGTGTGTGGGCCAGTGTTGATATCTTTCAGGTCACGTCATGGAGTAGGTGACAGAATATGCTATGGGAGCTAACTGAGATTCTAACCATTTCAGTCATCAAGTGGGAGATGGTTATGCGGATTAAGCACCATGTTCACAATACAGCATAGTGTCACGGAAGCAGAATCGCCAGGCAAAGGCAGCTTTCAGAAGATACAAAATATCTTATATAATAAATCACTCACATTAAACATCAGAAAACGAGTACTGAAATGTTACATCGAGCCTGTTGTTGTATGGTAGAGAATTTTGGAATGTGGGCAAACAAATTAGGAAGATTTAAGAGGCAACTGAGATGTAATTGTTAAGAAGAATGTTGCGAATACCTTGGACTGCTAGAATAACTAACGATAATTGCCTGGAAATGGCTAATGTTAAGTAGAACAGGATATAAAACAATGAGAAAGAGACAGGGTTCTTTGGTCACTTGATTAAAAAAAAAAAGGAGCACTAGAAAATATCGTGAGGACTGGAATGATCTCTGGTAGAAGAGGCAGAGACAGACCAAGAGAAATGATGGTGGCTGGCTTGAGCCAGTGGCATGGAGGAATATCATCAGTGAAATTGATCCAGAACACCAAAGACCGAGATCTGTGGAGATGCATGAACGCCTACGCCAGCTGGCAAGGCACTTGATGATGGTGGTGGTGGTAGCACGGAAGCTATGTCTGTTATGTGTGTACGGTGATGAACAAACGAGTGGATGGGTGGATAAGTACAGTAAAAAGTAAAGGACCCTTTTCCACGCCTTTAGGCGTATAGAGCATATAGGGCTAGACCTATATTTTTATAGACCAATCGGAACAAGATGTGTTATGTGGTCAGCATCACGCCGGCCGCCTCTACTTCCCGGGACTGCACTCAGTACCAACTCAAGGCTGGGTCGACCTGGGAGCCAAGGTCATCCTCTACTTCCCGGGACTGCACTCGGTACCCACTCAAGGCTGGGTCGACCTGGGAGTCAAGGTCATTTTGAAAAAAAAGTCTGGCTTCTCTAGGGAGCGAACCTACTACCTTCCGATCCGCAGCAAGGGTCTAGCCGCTCCGCCACGGGGACTCCCTGATGTGTGGATAGTTAAAGAGATACACGAATTGATGTATGGGTGGTTTGGGGAGGCTGGGTGCATCGATGACTGTTTTTGTTGTTGTTGACCAACTAGGTTGGTATGTGCTTTCTTAAATATATGCATACATATGTACAGACGTATATAACCGTTTAATAGATGCACTGGTAAGGGAAAGGTTTAGTAGGTAAGTAGTAGACACACAGATTATACAATGATACCTTATAAACTAAGAGTAAGACAGAACGATCGAGAGGCATATATTTAGATCAAGGGTGGGCTACTCGTGTGTGTGTGTGTGTGTGTGTGTGTGTGTGTGTGTGTGTGTGTTAGTGCGTACGCGCATGTGTGTGTGTCTGCGGGCCAGATTTAGAATTGTCTGACATGTCGCGGACCATATAGAAAAAAAAATAAACATATCACCCAGAATCCCTCGTGAAACGATATTTTTGTGGGGATAATCTAAGATTATAATCCATAGCTACGCCTCTGGCCAAACACACTCGCCAACTGAAGCCGTTCTGTATATTCCTAAATGTATATTTTCAAACTGGTTATTTGTTTTTGTTTTGTTTTATGAGCCCATTGGCCAGATTATTTAGTAATTTTACACAAGCCTCACGGACCACTAAAAATTGTTCAGCGGGCCAGTTTTGCCTGCGGGCCATAGTTTGTCCACCACACCTATTTATAGACGTAAAAGCAGATGATAAATAAATGCATGCATCGATACGTAGATCAGTAGGCAGTCATGCAAGCAGGCCGGTAGATACGCAGAAAGGTACATACATAATTAGTGGTCGATAGGTGGGCAGGGAGGAGGTGGGTAGCTAGCTATATATAAACGGTTTGATATGGAGGTAGCAAAGTAGGTCTAGATATACAGGTTGATACAAGCTTGACCCATAAGTAGACATATCGATAGGTACACGGGTAGGCAGGGGGATTTGTAGGCACATACATGCATGCATAGAAAGACGCATAGATTGCTAAACTTAGCGATCGATTGGTAGACAAGGAGGATGTAGATAAGTAGGTATCATCATCATAGTCCTATAACACGGCTGTGTCGCTAGAACACCAGATGCTCTTGATCAGTCTCCTCCACTAGATGTTTGCATGTGTAAGGCCAGTTCAGTAAGCCAGATGCTGCACCGGGGTATTTTTATGGTCTGTTTCTTCTTCTCTACTGTTGGGACCATTGCTTATCCAGTCTTTTTACTGTTGCTAAAAGTTCATATCTGCTTTTAGGCGTTGTGTGAGATGGGACAGCCCTATCTGGCTCCATATTGTTGTTTGAAAACATCTCTGTTTGTCCAGTAACGATGACAGCACTGCTGGCTTTTGCACAGAGCTGTTGTTTAGAATGTATCGGAGGTATATATATACATACATTTTTTTTTAAATCAAGAAACTACGAATTGCAAACCCTTGAGCTCTGTAGTATGGATACCCCAACCCTCCAGCCTTGATTCCATGATAAATACCTTAAATATAGGAAATATTTGGCTTTTCTGCCTACCCCCGAGCATGAACTCTGACCACAAGAAGTTTGCCACCCTGTCGCCGCGCAGCTCCTTTAATCAACTCAACTAGGGCGCTGGGTGTATGTATAAATAGGCAGAGCCATATACATTTAAGTAGAAAATTATAGTTACATACATATATTCGGTGTCAGTGGCTTATAAGTTGTGAACGCGCATTATCTTAAGGTAATCTGGTAATCTGGTAATCCTAGTTTCAGCTTCATAGCAAACGGGTCACCCCACATATGCTCCGCTCCTGTGCCAACGAAAAACAAACGCAGCTCACAGTGTCACGCCATGCACTCAACTCTGAAGCTGGGCGACGAAACTACATCCTTCCAGTCTACAAATGGAGCAAAAATGCAACGGCCACCGTCTGGAAAAATATTTGCCACGGCTTAAAAAAAAAAAGGTGGCCGTACCTAGCGTCCATTTTGACCGGAAGAATTATATGAGCTTTAATAAACGGTCACCCCAGCAGTACCCTCATTATTAGCTGGGGAAGGGACTTAGGACATTACATCCACCAGCAGGCGTCGCCCCTACAACGACCTGCCTGCCATCGTTAACGACTGTTCACCCAACAGCCATGCAGTTCTTTGGCACGAAGGAGACACCTTGAACTTGGGTTTCGTACTGCCGACTCCCTACTAAGATGTTATTTTATGTTCTGTTATCACAATTAATGTCACTGCACATTGGGGATACCCATGCGTGCTCAGTTCTCCGAAGCAGCAGCCACTCTAAAGTACTTCTACTAATTGTCCCCATGAGAAGCTGGTTATATTGTCTCCTTTCTCGGCCTCGAAGACGTGCATCACCATGCTTAACTCCCATGTCACGCAATCGTGTTAGTGTCAGGGATTCCTCATTCTCCACTAGCCCGGTTCGTACAGCGTTGACTATGTCTGCTCTGTCCATACTTTTTCCTGCAATCATTAGTGCAGTGCTTGCCAGTTGGTCTGCTCGCTCATTTCCCTTCACGCCCGCATGACCCGTGTGTAGATCCAGGTTACGGAGGTTAAGTGCGATTTCCTGTTGCTTTCTATCCATTCAGAGCGCATACTGCCTGTTGCTATCTTCTGAAGCATATCTTAAGGTACCGAGTTCGATTCCAGCTGCATACCATTTGGCACCAGACCGCTTTTCGTTGATTTTTATAGTGAAACATGATTGTTCAGATAGCAGTGGGGAAACAACTGAACGTAAAAATAAAAACTTGCCTAGTGAAACCAAACAGCCAAGGAATACTGCGTTGGTTCTTCTACTGTAAAGGATATGTGACTGTTTTTTTAAAACGTGTATTTATAATTAGCTACATACAGACATACGTAGATCGATGGGTAGGCAGGCAGACAGATCTGTATTCGCAGGTAAGCAACGTCCTGTAACACTACTGGCAGCAGTGGATAGACTGGTGGTGGGAGGAGGAACATTAGGTTTCAAGCGCCGGGGACACCGAAGCTACCTGCCTGAACGATTTTTTTTATAAGTAAGAAAAGGACAGATGGAGCGAGAGTATTAAAGGACATGCATGAACTCTCGTACGGATAACTGCGACCTAGGCATATATAATTGCAGTTGATATGAGGGCAGATGTTCAATCAAATTGTCTGTAAATGATTAAAAACGCAAGTCTGCGTGGGTCAGCCGGTTTATGACACACAACAGACTGTTACAGAAATGAAGGGTTCACAAAGTATGATCGAAAGCAGGATGTCATGAGAGCCGGCTGGTGGTAGCTGGGGAGTAAGAAATGAAGTTTTGGGTACAAGCGTGATAGCATCGGCTTGTTGTTAATTTGGCTTAGCTTTAACGAGATAAGTTAAATAAATCTTAGCAAGATGCTCAAAGACCTAGTACTGAACTCATTGAAAAACGCTTAACAAATCCTGATGTGGTATTTCATTTGTGATAACAGTCATAAAATATATCTACAGAGTCGTATAATTCATGGTTGTTTGCCCCGTAAGATTGATTTAAAACACTTCTTGTTACACTTCCTCACTGCATTTTTAAAGCAGTGGTTTTCGTGACAAAATAAGAAGCATTACCCTGCGGAAATATTAGATTGCTATTTTTTCCTCACTCTACAAGCTCTAGCTTCTTCTTCTCCTCGTCCCATCTCTCTTCTCCTCCTCCCATCTCTCTCCTACTCCTCCCATCTCTCTCCTGCTCCTCCTATCTCTCTCCTCCTCCTCCCACCTCTCTCCTACTCCTCCCATCTCTCTCCTCCTCCTCCTCCTCCCGTCTCTCTCCTCCTCCTCCTTTTCTTCTTCTTCTTTCTTCTTCTTCTTCTTCTTCTTCTTCTTCTTCTTCTTCTTCTTCTTCTTCTTTTTCTTCTTCTTCTTCTTCTTCTTCTTCTTCTTCTTCTTCTTCTTCTTCTTCTTCTTCTTCTTCTTCTTCTTCTTTCTCCTCCTCCCTCTTCTTCTTCTTTGCTGCTGTTGCTTGAGAGCTGACTGCGTTAGTCATCGGGTAAAATCTTGCCGCTGACTCTGCAGGACAAAGGACACCTGTTTCCGGTATCGTTATGAGTAATATGAGTAGACATTGTGTATGTGTGTGTGTGCGCGCGTACTTGCGTGCGCCCGCCTGCGCGCGCATGTGTAAGGCACATCCTTGAAGTGAATTTTTATATTTCAAATAATGTGCCATAGTCGTGCAGTGACCAGCTGGACACTTGCTGACTGGAGTTTTGGTCATTGTCCATTGAAGCAGAGAATTGGTTTTATATTTAGTACTAAAAATTGACCAGAACAAACCTATATGTTATACCATGTTTTTGATGTTTGATAGTTCTATTCTATACAGCATGTGACATGAATGTGCACAAAAGATGCGAAAAGAATGTGCCCTTGCTGTGTGGTACTGATCACACTGAGCGACGGGGAAGAATCCACCTCAGGGCTGCAGTCAAGGGTAACAAGCTACAGATAGACAGTAAGTTTTCACACACACACACACACACGCACGCACGCACGCACGCACGCGCGTGCACACACACACAAAGAGAGAGATAGAGAGAGAGATATAAATAGAGGGGGAAGGGGTATAAGGGGGTGTTATGTCTTGTTTGTGTTATGCAGTTACAAGACAGATGTTGAGTTTATAGCTGCCAACATATAAAAGCATTATTAAACCATAATTAACAGTCTGACAGTAGGGAAAGAAACCTTGCTTCTGTTTTAAACCCGCCCACATTGGATTACAGATTAACTTCTAATCGTCTAGTAGTGCCCCACTATTGACCATTCAGTAGCATGTCCCTCGCGGAACCTCGCTGCCATAACAACCCTTCGGAAAACCTTCCTATCCTGAGCAAGATGTCCTGCGTCTGATACACCCATCTGGAGATCATCTGCCACATCCTGCACCCATCTTCTCCTTGGCCTTCCTCTTCCTCTCTTCCCAGGAATATACCCCTCCATTATTGTTCTCTCTAGACTTCCATGACGTTTCAAGTGACCAAAATATTTCAATTTTCTTTGTTTTATTGTCTTTACTAGCCAACGGTCTTCAATATTCAGCTCTTGAAGTATGGATGCATTTGTTTTTTTCTTTACCCAAGATATTCTTAGAACCTGTCTGTAACATTTATATTCAAATGCATTTATGCGCTGTTCCACTATAGCTGTGTTATATGGCTATACAGTTTAATGGGGTGTACTTGTACCGGTTTGATTCTCACTCATTCAGATGTTAATCCTGCAGAATATGAATCTAAAAAAAAAAAAAAAACTTAAAAATTTTTTTTTTTTTTATACATTCAAACAAAATTGTTCTGTCTTTAACCTTCATTTGTACTTTGAATCACTTATGTCATATTTCAGCCTATCATTCTGTAATTTATCTTCAGCCTTTTTCCTGTTAACCTTTCTGCTTCACTGCTTTCTTTTTTTGTTTTCCTCATAAACATTTTATCATTATTTTCCCCCAAAGCTTTGTTCTCTTGCTTCCTTCTCTGTTAGATACAGCCTACACTGAAAAAAAAAAAAATTATAATTTGCTTCTTCTTACTTTTTCTGTCCACTTCTCCTAGCTGATCTCATGCCACTTGAGTTTTCCTCTGGTTTCTCTGTTAAGGTTGACAAGTTTAAATTGGGCTTCAGATAACATAGAAATATCACTCTTGTGTCCAGATTTGCCCTGAGCTGCACTTCACCATCCAATTCCCAGAACAATTCGGCTGAATAGATTTCCCATCAATATCCCGTCCCCACCTCACTGGCCTCAGTGTTTTCTTTTTAAGCCTGCTGATAATGGCAGTTCATGGTTACATGTGTACAATGGCTGATTCCTCTGCAGCAGTGAATTCATATGCTGAAGGAGATCATGCAGAGTCACATCCTGTTTAGCATTAGACATATTGATATGCTGATTGTGACTTGCTATTGTCAAGTTGTAAAGTGAACATATGCACATATAATAGACAGGATCAAAGTTTGACAGGGGAGAAACTTTGGAAGAAGTTGTCGTATTAAATCTGCTTCATCAAAGCTGACATAGAAAGCTACTTCAGCAGTTCACTGAAAGAAGCAAGTTAGGGTGTGGGTTACAGATAAAATGCTTAAAGTTGTTTAAAGACACTGATATACAGCCAAGCTGTAAGCCACCCTGAAATAAACATCAGAGTTGACATAGAAAGCTACTTTAGTTCTTTGGAAGAAACTAGTGATGACAACAGAAACAAGTATAATGCCTAAAGGGGATTGACTTAATTGCAACAGATTTTTTCCCCATGTGGCTTGGTCTTCCTCCATGCCTGGTTGTCTTTGAGAGTGTTGCGTAATAAACAAACTCAAGCAGTGACCCCAGGGGATCTTAGAAACACCTACATCCACAAACTGAAGGACAGAGTACACAGTCACACACAACTTCATCAGACACATAACTTTGTAGCATGAGGCTAAACAGCTTTGTCATGGAGACTCCCAAACTGCCAGTGAGACAGGATAAACAATGATTTGCTCATGGTAAGGTTTATTAGTTAGTCCATAGATCATTCTCGCTGTTCATCGAACCATTTAGTCCATAAAGGCTAGGATCTTTTCCTCAGTAAATCTTGCAGCATGTAGCAACTGACGACACCAGTTATGTGTTGATTTCTTGTTCTTCTTTGTTTTCCTGCATAGTGATCTTGTTTTGCTCCTGCATAGTAATCCTGTTTTGCCACACCCCCTTTAACTTGCTGTTCTTGCTGTCTGACCATCGTTGTGTATTTACCGTTCTCAGTAGGCTCTCACAAACGTTTTGTTTCTCGTAGAGCATTCAGTATATCAGCCTGTTCGATGGATGGCTCATCTGCCCTCCTCACTAGCCATATCTGCAAGCCTATCAGCTTACTCATTTTCTTATGCACCCACATACCCTGGCTTAAAAACACAGATTTTTGTTAAGCGTGACTGCCTCAGGGATGCCAACCATTGTCAGAGATGACAACCTCCAAGGCACCAACCAATATCTATCTTCCTGAGCGTACTTATTGACTATCTTTACCCACATAGGACTGCAGGTTACACCTGGCCTGTGTAATCATTACAGGTGCCCTAATTACAACTTATTTGAAGGTTGAACAGAGCATCTGGGATCTACCATGTTGGTTTGCCGTCCAGATTGAGATTTTCAAATCTGAGGATGGTATGGTGAACCTTTAGACAGCAGTCTGGTGAGGACAAACTGACTGATTATTGGCTCATGCTGATGGTGAAGGAGATTTACAGTGGCACATTAGTTGATATGCTTGCCTGCGATGACAGTGATCTGTTTTCTGTAGCCAGCAGAGGCAGGATTATGGAAAAAAGAAAGTTCCAAGAACACGGACAAGCCAGAAGACTCAGAGTGTTAAACATAGGTGAGGAGTGATTGACCAATTGGTTAAGAACGCTGGGCTCTCGTTTGGTAGACACAGTTTTTAATTCTCATTATGGTGATGGATTTGTTATATGTCAGGGGCAAAATCATACCCTGCACAATCCATAGTGAATGCAACAGCCATGTGGCCCTAAATCTTCATGCTCAGTGCTCTAATGTTTCTACACCACACTGAAAAAAATGGTAAGACAGTTGTTGTTTTTTAAAGACATAGGTGGACAGGGAAACCTGCTAGATGAGTTAACAGAATGGTAAATAACATTTAGCAAAATAGCATGATAGATTATCACAACTGAAGAGTACTAAAGAAAACTGGAGACAAATGATTGTTGATAAATGTCATCACATGGACTTTCCAGCGTTCATGTGATGGGGATCATGATAGAAATAAACACTTTAGCATCAACTGTTCAGTTTTTTCTTTATCTCCAGTTTTGGCAGCCAAAAACCTGTGCCCTATGGATCCTAATGGGTTGGCAGATCCATACTGCAAAGTCAAGTTAATCCCTCATGATTCTCAGAAACTCAAGCTGAAGACGAAGACAGTAAAAGCCAGTCTGAACCCTGAGTGGATGGAAACTTTTATCTTGTAAGTGTCTTTAAGTAGATACCAAATATCTAAAGTAGATATCAAACGTCTTAGGTAAATACTCAACTTAAAATATTGTAACTTTTTTGTAAATTTTTTAAACGCAGGTTACTATTACATTTAAAAAAAAAAAAAAACTGTATATAATTTGTTCCCGTGGAAATATATAAAGATTTATAAAGGAAGTAAACAATAAACATAAACTGAGTGATTAAAAAGAAATACATCACCTTGGGCCTTAAAAACAAGATGTTTTGATTGACCGTAACACTGAAGCTTATGGTAAAATGTGTTGTTAACCTGACTTTTAATGTGCTATATGATTCACAGCGAATCTGTTCATATCCTGACCTTTTAAAAATTTGGACAGGTGGGAACTCAGCCAATAACATTAACTTAACATCTCATAACAACATTCTAACACCAGTATTTATGAAGTTGTTAAACATAATTACTAATCTCTAAGCAACAAAGCCGCATGTAGAAAAAAAATATATATGTCAATTTAAATAACAGGTTCTCTTTGTCTTTAATTGTAAACATTGATATAAAACACATTGTGTGTAGTTTCTTAGAGTTTTTAGCTATAAATGTTTCCACTTCTGCATATTTCTTTTATTGTCGCAGGGATGTGGGTCCAGAAGACCATGCTAAGAGACTCTCGTTGGAAATCTGGGACTGGGACAGGACCTCCAGAAATGATTTTATGGGATCTTTATCATTTGGCATTTCTGAGGTAAGTTTAGTCTGCAACATTTGTTAAATCTGGCATGAAATTATGCAGGTTGGCATTAAATACACACTGTTAAAATTAATTGGATCATGAAATAGCCCTAATTGGAATATGCAGCAGTTTGGCAGGTACAAGAATATCATATCTGATGCATTACTTGTTTGAATTTGTGTAATTACTTTAATTAATAGTTGTTTTTTATCTAAAGGATGCTAAGTATCTTAGACATTAATACTTGTTCTACAAGGAACTATGTAATTTTTGCTAATGATTTTCAGATGGGGGCTTATATACAAATTTATGCTGTTATGGTCAGTCTTGTATTAAACTGAAGAGTTCTTCTTTCTCTCCGTCTTCTTCCTCTCATCTTCCTCCTCTTCCTTCATCTTCTTCTTCTCCTCCTCTTTCTCACTCTACAGAGCAGTATCAGCCTGATGATAATGATCACACAGTCTGTAAACACTTAATTAACTCTAGTTATGTGTCCTACTCACCCCATTCCCTTTGGCCCAGTTCTGTCTGAAAAAGTGCACTCACAAGCTGAGATTGGAGTCAGAAACTGCAGCTGCGACTTTCTCAGTGCTAAGCTGGATTAAATGGTCTTATTGTTTTAATCTCACAACTGGCACCATTAGTATTGGAACTGTTTAGGATAGGGAAGGAGTGCGTATGGGAATGCCCCGAGTGCTGTGATGTCAATTTTTGACTCAACTCAACTCAACTAACGTCACAACTTTCATAACGAAACTAATATTTTAATGACACAATGTTAATAAGATGATATAAATATTTATAGTACAATTTCTATCTTAATCTTGACATAGAAAGGTGTAAACAAAGCAAAATTCGAAAAAGTAATACAAATTACATAGTTGTCCTAAATAAATAATTACATGATATTTAAAATAACAAGTATATACTCTAAGAACTAGATGAACTTTTTATATTCCAGTTATAACCCTGTGAGCTGAACAGGATATTTTTTGGAAATCACTATTACCTGTCACAACTTATACTTTTGCTATCACTCATCATCTTTGTTTGTTTATTTATCTTTTTTTTTAATTTTTTTTTTATTTTGAACAGCTGATAAAGGAACCTGTAGATGGATGGTTTAAACTGCTCAATCAGGAGGAGGGGGAGTTTTATGGCGTGCCAGTCAGTGACGACATCTCAGAGGATATTTTGGAGCTCAAAAGTAAACTGCATGTAAGAGTTTCTCATTGTCTAGTTAGAGATTCTGTCATTGTAGCTTGTTTGGTTGCTTAGTTGACAGGTTGCTCTCTCTTTATAGCCATTTTATGTTTTACTGATCACATTCTCTAGTTTTGTGCACTACATTTCTCAGTGTAATAATATTCACCATAATCTAGTTAGCAGTTTTGTGTGCATAGTTTGAGATCCAGTCCACTTTGTAAGTTAACACCACTTCTTTCACTGGGGAGTTTCCTCTGTGGTATAAATATAAATGTCACACCCCAACAGCAGTCCAGGGTACTATATATATATATATATATATATATATATATATATATATATATATAATATATATATATATATATATATATATATATATATATATATATATATATATATATATATATATATATATATATATATGTATATATATATATATATATATATATATTATTTATATTTTTTTTTTTTTTTTTAAATAGCATTAGTGTTATTAACATCAATGTTATTTAGAAGAAAGAAATATGCTAATTACTGGCTCTTAAACTGTAAAAATATATGAAAGTCAAAGAATAAAAGAAAAAAAGGATAAGACAAACAAGTCACGATCTATTTTCTAAGAGCAAGGTTTATTATGAAGAAAAATAGACAGATTTTGAAAGATTCAATTTGTTTCCGAAAGTAAATTGATAGGCATCGTGTCTCACCTGTCATGTGTTAATTAGAATTAATTACATACAGTGAAGATAGATCGCAAATCTGATAGGCAGTTGTAAAATTCTGTTAATTTAATGTTTAATTTTTGTGTGAGAGCTGTTGGTGTTGCACTGGGTGGGACGCTCTTCTGTTGGGTTGGTGTGCCACATGTTTGAATTAAATCACTGTGGGTTTTTTTAAACTGGCCTTAACTTCCAGGCTGACCTAAAAATGTAAAGAAGGAAATGTTCTAAGAAGTATAGGTGACTGGCATGATATCGACTGAATAACTGATTGAGTATAAAAGATACAGGGATCGCATCATTTAAATTGAATTATGAGTTGGATTATCTTCATAGCACTCTGGTCACATCCACAGGTGCTCAGATTTCCCTTTAACATATTCAACATTTCCATGGTTAATAGTGCCAGTTCTATGCTAGTTGACAAGATTTCTTTTGCTTCTGGTTTGCCTTTCATGCTAGGCTGCTCCGATCTTAACTCCCACTTCTCGTGTTTTTAGCAGTGATGTAGACATGTTGCTTCCCAAATCCTCAGAACATCCTATCTCTCTAATGGCATTGACAGTGTCGGCATGATCGGCCATCTGCATCTAATGCAGAACCTGCCATTCTGTCAGCTCTTTTATTACCAACAACACCAGCATACCCTGGGATAAATATGAAGTTAACTAAACACACAGGAAAGTTTTGCAATGACTCAGTCCACTGCATGCATATGAACCATGCTTTGACCCGTTGGATCATGCTTATATAATCACTCAGTGCATGCCCACACATCTGCTCATGTGCACACATACACACGTATGCGCACAGAAATAGCCCTGCCTGCAGAACGAGCTGTAAATGCCTATGCACTCTAATGTTGCAGCATAATAGATCATTACATCTGTCTCATCAGACTTGTCACTGATAAGAACCTGGCATTGATAGCAACGGGATTCTGCTCCTGGCAACTCCTATCGAGCCTGTTGACACAGAAGAAGGTGCGACTGAGCGCTTAAGGCACTGGTATCCAGGGTGGATGTCTGTAAGACTGCAGACCTGCTTGGTATCATTTACCAAGGAAGGTGGTTCCATAGTAGTTAGCATAACTGTGTTCTGATCCATTGGTAATGTGTTCAGTCTAGGCAATATCTATGCAGAGATGAAAGATCTACATGATTTGCCTAGTTGACGCAGTCTAAAAAGGAGTACTGGGAAATGCACAAGAAAGTAAAAGTGGTATTCTGTGCTAAATGAGTTACCACTAGTCAGCACACTACCAGGTGTCTAACAGGTACCCTTCTGCTTCCTCTCTTAGAAACAGAACTCGACGACTATGACACCGTCATACATTTTATTCAACAGGATACATGACACAAATGCAGAGACATAGTTATTGATCACAGTTGACCTTCGCACATAATTCATTTGTCCTCACTCGCTCTCTCTCTCAATTTGTAGCGAACTCTCCTTGGTCACTTGATATTATTTCAGCATAAAATACGGTTAACCAGAGACGGACTTCCCTTGCCGTACTCTGAAAACACACAGCTGTCGTCAGCTTGTCGAAGGGCTCCGATGACCGACAGGACTTCTACCATAAGTACCCTCTAGCACACAACACTCGTCGGCATCACCACCCCCCCCCCCCCCCCCCCCCCCCGTTCTGTTTCACTAGTGGTCCTTCTACGTTTCACTATGTCGCCACCCAGAGCCAGAACAGGTACTACTGGAGCCTTCCGTCCCCTGGACTTACTTCGCCAACGGGACCATATCTTCGACCTGTACCGCAACCTCAACACTTACTCAGACCTCAACGCCTGATAGTCGTACGGTATTCTTGTCTGTTAGACTCGAGAGATATATCACAGACCCTGACTTGGTCTCTGACTCTCTCGCTCTCACTCTCTCTCTTCGACTCTTGACTCTGACTGCCTCCGACTGACTACTCAGCCCTCCAATTTATCCCCCTCAAATCCGTGTAGGTGGATGATGTTTACCCGAGAGCCACGCTCATATGGACGTTCTCCTGAATCATGATCCTGGTGTTCTCAAGACTCACGCTCATGTGGGTGTTCTCGAGGATCACGCTTATGTGGGTGACTGATGTTACCTGAGAATCACGCTGTCACTTAATTCACACTTTCTCTGTTTATCTCATTAGCCATGCTTTCAGCCCCCACACAGTAACCCACGCGTCCACTTTCTCGTGGCACAACAGAATTACTCTCATACCACTGTCCCTTCACACAATATCATACTTTACCCAAATCAGCGTGCAACAGGTGGCTACTGTCTCACCACATTGCCCATTAAATGCCACTTGGTCTATCATGATGGTCCAGAGTGCTGCTGGCATGGCAAAGGTCTTTTACTTTATCTATACCCAGTATATTCTTTACTATGATTAACTGTATACCCGGTATACCTAAAGGCATTTAAATGGGTTAACAGCATTGGAACTCTTCACTGGATGCTGATTATGAGGATCGAGCACTTATGGGACTATCCTGGGTGCTGTTTTTAACTCAGCTCAGTTCAGCTCATATTATATTGAGCATAATGGCTTTTTATATTACAATGTGATAGATATGAACATATTATACAAATGAGGTTTCTCTGGTTAAATTCTACAGTGAGGATGTGACATTCTAAATGCTAGTTTCTGTTAAAGTACTGCACTGTGCCCAAGTTACCAGAAATTGTCATTGGGACAATCAGCTTTCATAACCTAGCATCTTCTTATTCTGCATTCATCCTTAAAAGGACATTTGACACATTATGTTGTAGTTTAGAGCTAGGCTGCGATTTCTGCAACTTTCAACCTAGCACATCCAATTTCAGAAAACCCAAATTAGTTACCTTTTGTGACATGCTTGTTAGGGGACAATGGCTCCGCCCCCCACCCCACACCCCCACCCCCCGTCAAAATGGGGCCCCAACACTCACACAGGGAGTCTGGCATTTTAGTGTGGAGATTTGTGCATACTAAAGCTTATCTAATCTATTCTAGTGCCTTAACCACTCGGCTACGACGACTTGCTTATCGGGGGTCTCCTTAGTGAAGTGGTCAAGCCATTTGCCTCGCACTCTGAAAGTTGTGAGTTTGTTCCACGGCTGCATCTTTCAGTTTACGAGTGCAGTTTTTACGGAGATCCCTGGAGATCATCGCCTGAGCTACAGAGTTCCTGCTCTGTGTGATGCTCTCTGTAGACAGCTAGCTGTTCTGTGGAGAGAGACCGAGCCAATAAGGGATAAAACCCGGCTCAAAAAAGTCAGTCCTTTGAAATTTAACTACATCACCCAGCAAGTGCTGACTGGTCTAAAAAATATAGGTCTAGGACTATATAGCCAATATGCTTGAAGGCGTGAAAAGGGTTTTTACTTTAACTTTACTTTAACTAAAGTTTATGGTGACATGGTTTACTTTGGTAGTTACTGCAGGGCTGTCTCAAAACATAATAGGTCTTAGACAATGCAGTGCATGGGACCATCAGCACACTGCTTTATAGAATTATGAATATTAATTGTTTTTGTTGGTGTTTGTTTTAATCTGCAGTTACTTTATAAATGAATGCAAACTGATAAATGGCATTCATCAGCTAATGATAAATGCACCACTTAGCCAATAATAGTATGGAGCCCATGTGCATCTGCTCAAAATATCCACCCATTTAGTCATTGCGGTACTTGTAAAAGTATATTTATTCTGCATTTCCACAAATCTTTGCAATGCTCCTTTCTTTGTGCAACATCTCTAGAATGTCATCTGTAGAGTGCATGTGATGTTTCTCTTTAGTTGTCTGTGATGTAAATCTTGTAAAGCAGACGTGTAAATTGAATGTCTGTGTTTATAGAAGCATAGTAATAGAACTTGAACATTTCCATCTGCAGCTTCTATAGACTTGTTTTTAACCTAAGCCTTTTGATTAACAATAAAGCATATGTTTGTTACTGGAGCCCTTAACCCTTTTGCCCCAGTGACCTAGAAAATAAAAGTGCTTAACAAACAACAAATAGAATAGATGGAAAACAAAATTATAGAAGACATAGGGTGAGCTGCATGTGATAGCAAAGGATATGACATCTTAAGTGAGTTGGTTGAGAACCCATATCCCATTAAGGAATAATGGGCCGAAGAATATGAAGAATAAAACATAAGCTGCATTAAGTGAAAGTAAAAAAGGACCCTTTTCCACGCCTTCAGGCGTATAAGGCATATAGGGCTAGACCTGTATTTTACAGACCAATCAACACAAGATGGGTGATGTTGTCAGCATTATGCTGGCCGCCATTTTTTCCCGGTACCTACTCAAGGTTGGGTCGACCTGGGAGCCAAGGTCATTTTAAAAAAAAAAGTCTGGCTCCGCCAGGGAGCATAAGCTGCACTGCCTGTATGTTAATGGATCCTAAAAGGGAAGTAAAACAAAATATAACTGTAACCTGCTAAGCATGGTGTAAGTGGCAACTAAGGAAGTTTGGCATGATGTTGACTACACCATTCGAGTAATAACTCAAATTGCAAAATCCAAACAGTTACGCTCAAGTCATCAGATAAAAAGTCATTGCAGTTTCAGCTTCACAACAAACAGATGACTCTGTAATTGCTGCATTCCTACGGCAGCAGAAATTAGACCCCCACCACACACAAAAACTCTCACTGTTCCAAGCAAAAAGTTGAAAAACAGCAAAACCAGTAACATGCACATTCACAAAGAAAACAGTTTTTGCTTTGGTTGGTTGATTATTACTTATGCTATATTTGGGAGATGGAAAAAGAAGAAGAATAAGCTGTTTGTATGGTACTCTATATGTATGTGAACATAATAAACAGTGCCATAATGAAAAAAATTCCCTGTTTTAAGGTATTTAGTTTCCTTTAAGAAGTATCATCATTTAAGTTTGTATGAACCCACAGTGTTTTCAAATACACTGTTATGATTTGGGTGTAAGGTTTTTTAAAGTATTTATCACTTTTTAAAAACAAAAACAAACAAAATTATATGGAAACACATCATTTATCTCAGTGTATAATAGCTGCAGAGGTAATATCCGTATAATCATTGTTTAGTTTTGAGAGTAAAGGGAACCGACGAGTGAGTCATGTGTCTTGGTTAATATTGCTTTTGTTGATATAAGTGTTAGTAAAAGCTCATGTGATATAATGTATATCAGTATTTTTGTGTATTATTAGTATTATGGGGAGTCGCCATGCTGTAGCGGCTAGATGCTTGTTTGTGGAAGGTTGTGGGTTCGAGTCCGGACTTTGCGCCAGGTCGACCCAGCCTTGAGTGGGTACCAGGTGCCGTCTGGTAGTTAGAGGCAGCTGGCTTGATACTGACCACATGACCCACCAAGTGCCCATTGGTCTATCAAATATAGCTCTAGCCCAGTATGTATGCCCACTATGCTTGAAGACCTGGAAAAGGGACCTTGACATTACCTCTCATAGATGTATTTGATTCTGTTGATGCATGAGAAAGAGAGAGAGAGAGAGAGAGAGAGAGAGAGAGAGAGAGAGAGAGAGCGCATATGTTTTATTTACACAAAGAAATATTTTAATTATTTCATAATTTTTATTTTATTTTAAATTTAGCATCTGTTATGAAGTATAGCTTATTTTGTGTGTGTATTCTCTGAGTGTTTTGTGATACTATGCTTTGCCAACACAAACATGGAAACGGATGAAACAATTGAGTGGTAATATTATATACACAGTTTGGAAAGACTATCCCTGTCTAGGCTGATGGACATGGGGATGCAGCCTTGAGCTGCATGAAATGAACCTTTCACCAATGGCATAAAACTGTGATGAATGAACACAGAATCTGCATTGTCATCATTTTATGCTTGTCAATCTGTTGAGGAGATCAGAGCACAAATGGATCTGTCCGGAGTGCTGTGAGAATAATTCTCACAAATTACGAATCACCCGTATTTCCCTTCATCTTCTGCCCTTAAAATCTTCATTACAGCAGATGTCCTAAACAGTTTTTGGCATAACTAATTGACTTTTGCAGCTGAAGCTTGTTTTATTCTTGTAAAGTATGTGTTGGCTTTAATTTGACTTCCATAGTCACATGAATGGTTGTGATCTCTACCTTAACAAATTTTGGTTGAAAGAACAAGTGATTGCCCTGATGCACTTACATCAGTGGATACGTCTATTTCTTATTCCTGAGATTTCTCTTCCCTTTTGCCCAGCACATATGATTTCAGCAAATCCTTAATTAGTCAATGTTTTCAACATGGTTATTAAAAAGCAGGGGGGTCTATTCCTGTTCCATTAATGTCTCCATAGTGAAGATTGGCTGTAAAGTTTCCCCAAATTTCTAATATCTTTCACCCTTGTTATACATTGTCTCAGAGACTGTTCATCCATCTCTTGATGTTATCCTTTCACCTCTCACCGTCTACCTCTTAGTTGTCTGCCTGCCTATAACTTCTCTTTTGATTTTAAGTTCGCCATAATGATAACTGATGTAATGGGGCATAGAAGATTCTCCATTGCCACACAGTCAAGATACTGACAGAGAAATTAGGGTACTATAAATTTGATTTCAGAAACAAATAAGCTTACGCACTGGACACTGCAGGCTCAGCAAACACTAGTGTAAATTAGGTATGAGCCAAAAAGCACTATGCCAGTGTCTTAGTGCTGCACACCCCAGAACATGTCTTGCTTCTGCAAAGCAACATGTGGCCATTTCCCAAATAGTAGTATACACTGCAGGACACATTTCTAACTTTATTAGAGTCTTTGTATGATTGATACTGTTGTATTGTTACATCCACAAACCAGCTTCTGTGCAGATTTCTGCTGTATTAAGTGCAATATCTACATGCCAATTCCTACACAGAGGTCAAGCATTAGGGAACGTGAACAGAGGAGGATTGCAGAGCCAGACAAGTACCAGAGCTTGAGTAAGCAGGACATCGTCCGAGCTAGTGACTTCAATTTCCTTACAGTCCTGGGCAAAGGAAGTTTTGGAAAAGTAGGTGCTTTCTTTCTTTCTTTCTTTCTTTCTTTCTTTCTTTCTTTCTTTCTTTCTTTCTTTCTTTCTTTCTTTCTTTCTTTCTTTCTTTCTTTCTTTCTTTCTTTCTTTCTTTCTTTCTTTCTTTCTTTCTCTCTGTCCTTTTGTTTGTTTGTTTCTTCCTTCCTTTCTTTCTTTCTTTCTTTCTTTTTTTCCTTCTTTCTTTCTTTCCTTTCTTTTTTTATTTCTTTTCTTTCTTCATTTTTTCCTGCCTGTTCTTCACTTCTTCTGTTCTGAGTGATTTAGAGATTTTTTTATTTTTTTACCATCCCTAACTTCTGAGTGCTGTTGTCATATTTTATTGAGAGCGGAGTTTCAAAATTATAAACCTTGTCCATTTCCCCACGATAAAGCATTTACAGAACGTACAGATTCTGGTATACATAATGGATTAGAAAACTTGCTAGCCACAGAGGTTAACAACAGAGTATTGTATTTTGTGTGGATTATAAACATATGTAGATATCCTTGCTAGCTACATGGTTCATACTCTGAGCCGAGAACCTTTTAGTCGGGCAGTCAGTGTGTCTTTTCTTGTTTGTCTTTCATTGTACTTATCCTCCTTTCTTTCATGCTATCATTATTTTTGTTTTCCTTCTAATTTTTCTTATTCCTAGAAGCCTCTTCCACACCTTCAGGTGTTTTGGGCATCTTGTGTTAGACCTATATTTGATAGATCAGACACACTGGGAATGATGTCAACCTCACGTGTGCCGGTTTACTTCCAAGGACTCTAACCTGGTGCCCATTTAAGGCCGGTTTGACCTAGAAGCGAAGGTCACTTTTGAAACAAAGCCCGGCTCCATTCAGATTTTAACCCACGTTTTTTGGGGATTTGCAGATGAGCATCTAGCCAGCACTCCACGGTGGCTGCCTTATTTCTAGAAGGCAGAGGAAAATAATAAATTTCCCTTTGTAAAAGCAGTATTGTCGGCATCTGTGGCTTGGCGTTGCAAACGCACTTTGTAATGTCGAGGTGCCGGGTTCGATCCCTGCTGCAAACGGTTTGTCTTGCGATGGTTTCAACCTTGGTACCGAGAGCCGACCGTCCAGGAAGCAATGGCAAACTACTGGACGTAAATTTCCCTAGAAAAACCACAACAGCCAGAAAGTGCTGGGATTGGTTCTGCAATGTCCTGTAAAGGATACACAACTAACAAGGAAGTAGAGACTGTAAAACTGTAACTTACCATGCATGTCATAAGGTAGCTACTTTATCACATAGAAAACATAAGCTGCTAAATTCATCATAAACAAAACAAGCCTACATATATCTTTACACAATTTGATTGACAACCTGTATACATTGGGTGATAAAAAGCTGAAGAAGAAGGAAAGGTAGCGGCATGTATTTTACTTACCTGACATTCATAATAAAACAGCTGTGAGTTTCTTCTTCTTCTTCTTCATCCTCCTCCTTCTTTCTTTATCTTCTTCTATATTCACCTTTTAAGTTGACACATTATGTTGTGGTTCACAGCTAGATTGTGATATCTGTGCCAGTCAGCCCAGTACATTCAGTTTCAGCAAACTTCTAATTAGTCGCCTTTTACAAACATGCTGGGGGTGGGGGCACAAAAAATCTAACACCCACCCCTCCCCCTACACCCACAGGGTCCATTGATTCACACCAGGAATTCATGAATGTAAAATATAACTAAAGAAAAGTAAAATAATCATTTGCACACTGAAGGTAAAAAAAGCAGGGCTCAACAAAGTCTTCTGAAAGAAATATTTATAACCTAAAGAGTAAACAGATAGACCTGGTTTGATTGCTGTAGAATCGCATCTTCCTTGTTTGTTAATCCTAATGAAAGTTTCATGTTTGTCTCTAGATTATACATTTGATTATTTATGCCAGGTTTGATGGTTACCTGCCTGTAACTCTGTATTATTTATGTTATGTTTTTTTTTTTTGGGGTGGGGGGGGGGGGGGGGGGGGGATTTATTTCTGAATGGACACTTCTTTCAGTTGTTATTGCTGCCACTCTTTAGCATAAATCAAGGTTATAGTTGAACAGTGCCTTAGCATCCATGGCAATCCAGACTTAAATGGGTACCAAAAAATGTCCCAGGAAAGTAAAAGTGGCCAGCATGATGTTTACCACATCACCCTAGTGAGAACACTCTAGAGGGTGATGCTGTCATTTACACAGATGGTTCTGTAATCCCCCATTTTAGAAGCTCATGGGCTTTCACAGCTCAGTTTGGAGGCAGAGTTGTGAAGGAAGATTCTGGAGCTTTTGCCGTAACTACAAGTAGTCTGAAGAATAATAAACCAACACAGAACCGGTGTCGTAAGCGGCTACACGCTGCGGGATTTACTGAAGAGGGGATCAGAGCACTTAGGGACTGAGTGGTTTGACGTGCAATAAGGATAATCTGTCGACTAACTAACTAACTAACCCGAGTCTTTGATTAGTCTATAGGTCTAGCAGTATGTGCCCACTGCAGCATAGCATGATAGGTGTCCCTTATTCTCTCTCTCTCTCTCTCTCTCTCTCTCTCTCTCTCTCTCTCATCTCTCTTACTCTCTCTCTCTCTCTCTCTTTCTCTCTCTCTCTCTCTCACTCTCTCTCTTTCTCTCTCTCACTCACTCTCTCTCTCACTCTCTCTCTCTCTCTCTCTCTCTCACTCTCTCTATCTCTCTCTTTCTCTCTCTCACTCTCTCTCTCTCCCTCTCCCCCTCTCTGTATATGTGTGTGTATATATATATATATATTGTGTGGTTTCCGGGGCTCCATTATGGGGAATAAACAACACTGCAGTCTTAACAATTATGTTGTAAAGGTTGACTAATTAGTGGTGTTTCCTTTGAAGTCTGAGTGCATCTGCCTGAGAGATGTGCAGCCAACAGTCTGCTTGTTAATAAGCCAGATTTGAAAAACAGATGTGCATGAAAAACTCAAGTTCTTAAGCAAGACTAAGTACAGAAGTTGACGAACTTTTGCTGAAGTTTACAGCAGGTGAATGCAAAGAAGAAGATTATATACACATATCTCTCTAGATAATGGTATAAGGGTGGATTCACATATAGACTGCAGCCAATCTCTGTTATAGAGACAGTACACAAATTTTAAAAGTTGTAGTCATATTATATATGTGTGTGGGTGTGTGTGTGTGCGTGTGTGAGAGAGCGAGAGAGAGACTACGTTTTTGAAACTGGGCATGCTGTCTCCATAATAGAGATTGGCTGCAAGGAATATGTGAATTCAACACTATCTTTGGAAATATAACATAGTATGACTTATCCTAAAGCTACACGAATGGTCTCAGTGTATATCATTTAAGTATAAAGTTTTATGTCATTAAAATATAGGGCAGTATATCAATAAAGTTTACCCTAAGTCTGTGTGTATATTCTGTGTGTGTGTCGCCAAAGTTTACCCTAAGTCTGTGTGTGTATTCTGTGTGTGTATCATCAAAGTTTACCCTAAGTCTATATATGTATTCTCTGTGTGTGTAAAGGTAGTTCTGGCAGAAAGGAAAGGCACAGATGAGCTCTACGCCATCAAGATTTTGAAAAAAGATGTCATTATACAAGACGATGATGTGGAGTGTACAATGATAGAAAAACGAGTCCTTGCTCTTCCAAATAAACCACCATTCCTTGTCCAGCTGCACTCCTGCTTCCAGACCATGGTAAGTATTGGTTGTCCTTTTTCTGAAATGGCATTATCACTTTTAATCTCAAACACTGTGTAATATGGGGAGCCACGTGGTGTAGCGGCTAGATGCCTACCTGTGGATCAGAAGGTCGTGGGTTCAGAACCTGCCAGTACTTACTTTTTTTTTTTTAAAAATGACAGTGACTCCCAGGTTGACCCAGCCTTGAATGGGTACCAGCTGGATTCATGGGAAGTAAAATTGGCTGGCAGGATGTTGACCACATCATCCACATGGTACCGATCAGTCTGTAAAACATAGATCTAGCCTTAGGTGTGTAATACACCTAGAGGTGTGGAAAGGGTCCTTCACATTACTGTGTGATATACTCTTTTTCTTGAATCCAGTGATCATGTAATACCTTAACTCAGATTGTGCTCTTGGTCAGACATACTCCAAAAATCTGGCTTTTCAGATGGCCACATCCACTGAAATTTAGTCTCTTTGAAAGCCAAAATAGAAAAATCCACTGTGATATTTTCATAGAGTGAATTTTCTCTTTTAGCAAATGTTCTGATACTGAGAGTTGGGATAATTTTTGGAAGAAAGTATTGGAATTGTGAAAATATATTTCTGTGAGTACCTCCTGGGCATAGTCTACGCAGAAATTGAGATATTTCATTTGAATTTATTAGCACTGGTAGTGAACCTTTAATAATGCTGTTAATCTTTGACATGATTTCCCAACCCTGGGTTTTGCCTTAGAACTCGCATCCCCACAACGAGACTCCACTTCCAATATTAACTAAAGCATTAAAGCTGCAAACAGTTGAAGTTGTATCCTGTGTCGACATCATTGTTATGTATACATTATGTATCAGTTCTAAGCTGTCAGTCATAAGTCTTCAATTCTGCTAATATATCAGGGAGGCATTCAACAACCACCCAGTGTTAAACAAAATTAAGTGGTTATCTTTTTATTTTATAAAAAAATTTAATTTCCATCATCATTAACTATTGAATGCAAGAGCAGTATGAAGAGAACTGATTACCCACACCAGAAGGAGAAAATCTATATTCTTTGGTCATGACATGAGAAGGATAAAGCTGGAGTACATCGAGATGGTGGGAAAGTTGCAGGGGAAAAAGAGGCATAGGGAGACCCAGACAGAAGATGCTGGACAGTTTGCCATTATGTCATGGAAGATCATCTGTGTCAGAAATGGTTGAAAGTACACGAGACAGAACACTGAGCTTAGACATACCTACCAACGCCACAAGGTAGGGACTATAAAGCAAAGAAGCAAGAGCAGTCATCAGTCATTAATACAAAAAGTGGTACATTCTTCTTCTTTTTCTTCTTCTGCGTTCAACATCAGTCATGCTAAACATTGAGTCCCATCTGGGTCAAAAATAGGATTGTGCGTTTAAGGTCGCCACTGGTCCCCCATAGCTTCTCTCGCAATGTGGATCCCCTGGGCCAGATCCACAATGAGGTACATGAATTATTGAGCACCCACCAAATTGTTCCACTGTTTGATTGCCCTCTGTCCCATATATGTTTTTTTAAATTTTTTTTAAATGACTTCTCGTTAACCAGTTTCCCTTTTACCAGTATGCCTTTCACCAGCTTTCTTTTCAGAAAACATCTCTTTCATCAAACTCCCTTTGCTTTCACCACATGCTTTTTCTTTATCTCCTATTCTACCACTCTTTGTTGAGAATTTTCATTTCTTCAAATCGTGTTCTTTTCCACCAACTTAACTCTTCATTTTCCCTTAGCTGAAGTCCCCATATTTTAAATTATATCTGAAACCATTCATTACAAGAAGTTAGTATACCCAGACCAAAAAATAACTTGGTGCAAAAGTTAGTTTTGAAGATTTTATTTCTATTGTTTATTTTTTTTTAAAATTTGTTTTCTAGATTCTGATTGTTTTCTGGAATATGGTTAATTTGTATACTATAAATCTCATCTGTGAAACTGTTGTTTATTGAGAATCAAAACATGGGTAAGAGTAAAATAAAATGACATGAGTGCAGACCTGAAGAAAAACTCCACAAGAACCAAGTAACCAGATAGAGAATGGGTTTAGAACTTTTTAAAATTCTTGTTCAGCAGCAATTAGATTGGCTAGAAATAATTAGGACTCTTGTGTATCTTGTTTAGGACAGGCTGTATTTTGTGATGGAGTATGTCAACGGAGGAGATCTCATGTATCGGATACAGCAGGAGGGCAAGTTCAAGGAACCAGTGGCTGCGTGAGTGTACATTATTGTTTTTGTTTGTAGCCTTTTTGTCTTGTTTTCTTCTCTGTTGCTGTTGTTATTGTAATGTAAGTAGAAAATGTAAAGCACTCTTTTCCCACCAGTGCTATTTCGGACATGTAGTGCTAGATACATGTTTTCTATTTGTTTAATAAATAGGCTTGCTTGGTTTATGTGGTCCATATCCTGAAGGCTGCCTTTATTTCCCATGTCATTTCCTGGTACCCATTTTAGGCTAAGTCAGCCTGGAAGCCAAGGACAGATGTTGAAAAAAAATCTGCTTTGAAACAGGTTCAAACATAAAACCTTTGATTGGCAGGCAGTTTCATTAACTGAATCTCTTTCACATCATTTGAGATGCACCGTTTGCCATCATGTGGAAGAGTATAGCATGACAACCAGGCTTTTATCACTGGAGTATTAAAAGCTGTAGATATATAAACTGTGAATAATTGATAGCCATGTCGTGTTTTGGCAAGATGGATGGTAAAAGATAAATGGGAAGGAATAGAGATAAATACCTGGGTGGCTTGATGACATGGATGGGGCAAGACGTAATCACCAACTCATTTTATGATCCTAGTGTATGATGGCAAAACATATCAACATGGCACATGAGAATTATTTCTTCTTCTTCTTCTCGTTCACCAGCTGTAAACTCCGGCAGAAAATTCTGTTTGTTCGACCACATCTGGACTGCAGTCCTGTTCCAGAAGCTGAGTTTTGCATGTGCATCCGTTTGACAGATCTGTATGCAGACTGTTGGTTCCTTGCCTCTCGGGCAAATGCACTCCGACTTCGAAGGAAGCTCCCAATTAGTCGACTCTTACGACCTGCTTTTTGGTAGGCAGTGGGTCTATTCTTGTTTTTCCCATAGTGGGCCTCAGAACCCACACGGGGGACATGAGTATGATGATGATGATTTTCTGTTGATGGTTTGTTTCTCTTTAATTTCAGGTTTTATGCAGCAGAAATTGCTATAGGTCTGTTTTATCTACACAATCAAGGCATTATTTACCGGTATGTATGTAGTTTTAGTTTTTATTATCTAGTGTGCATTTTATTAGTTGGGAATTGTCATTAAATTACTTCCAGACAGATCTATAGGTCTACCCATCCCCACTTCACTACTGCGAACGAACGAACAAACTTTATTTTCAAAGGGTTACAAATTGGGCACGCAGGCCCGTCTGACATTTGGCCCTTCTAGGCACTCGTTTTTCAGAGTACCAATGCCTGTTATCTAAAATGCATGTTATAGTTATAGAATAAAAATATACATTATAGAATATAATACACATTATAGAATATAATACATACATCATGTGTACACATTCTTACACACTTACACACACATATATATATAAATGCTCTCACATTCTCATACATGCACACTCATATACAGACATACCTAACACATACATACATACATTTACATATATACACAAACAGAAAAGACACACACATACATATATGGACATATACACACCTACACATACAATCACATGTACAGACACCCACAACCATACATTTACACTCACATGTAAACATAAATACACACATATACATACACACATCAGTACATACACCTACATCTTTACACACATACATGCATACCTAAATACACACACGTACACCCATATACTTATACATCTACAAATGCATACACACATCCACAAACATGCATACATACACACACCCACATACATGCCAACACACATTACATACATACCCACACATGCATGCATACACACATATACAATCACCCATACAGATACTCACATACATACATACACTCATGCATACATACATACTTGCCTACATTATGTACACACATACCCACAATCACACATACACTCATATACAGTCACACATACTGCACAAGAATAACCTGACTAATCACCCCTGTTCTGGGTTTCTTAATAAAACACCCGGTGCCCTTAGTGAAATTTTCATTTCTGGCAGCTCTAGGCGGTACCCACAGATGCACCACCCTAGACAGGGATGCAGAGTCATTATTCTTGCTGTTAAAATCTTTGTGACATACATCTTGAGTGACATGTCTTAGTCTCTTTTCTTCATTATATAAGTTCAACTCTTTTGGTCTCAGGCAGTTGTCACCTTAACTCTTTCTGTCTCTGGGAGATGGACTTAAAAGTAATAAATATATTAGGTCTGAAGGGGTTGATACATGACACTAAGGGATGCTCAACACTCAAGGAAAAGGCGAGACCGTTATACAATGAGTTACAGATGTCATCAAATTGAAACTCTTCGCTTGCTGCTGAAGATGGGGGACGGAGTGCTTATGGGAGTGTCCGGAGTGCAATGATGTTGATTCCTAATTCAGCACTCAACTGAGGGACACTAGTAGTGAATGAAATAATACAGTTACAAATGGTTCAGACAAATGTGTAAAAGTCAGCAACAACAAAACGTTTTCTTTGGGATTACCTAGAATTATACTGTGAGTTGTGTGGTACTGAAAAAGTTAACATTTGTAATGTATTGGCATGCCAGAGTTTTGCAGAACCACCTTGTGCCTTATGACAAAAGCAGTAGGAAGACTGTATCTTCAAAAAATGACATAATCAGGACATGCACAGGGATACAGAGGGGCTGAACCACATCTGGTGGTGCACCAGGACCATATTGGTCAAGATGTTTTTACAACTTTCCATGGTCATCCTTGAAATCGGTTCTGAGATGGAAACATGGTTAACATAAATAGGATCATCAGTGTTTACTTCAGAGTCAGAATACATCTGCCTTAGAGGGAGGAATCAACAGTCTTTACACAAATATGCCTTATATCCGTATGATGATAGGGTTTCAATGGCAGTGCTTCTGTCATGATAATATCATCATCATGTAGCAGGTCCTTTGCAGAACATCGCTCTCATCACAGTCTGCCTAAAAGAAACTCGGTCTCTTGCCAGTTCTCCTGCCTCGTGCACTTTCACACTCAAGGAGTCACTTGTATCCTGTGCCCATCTTCGTTTTGGTCAGCCCCTGCCCCTCCTTCCTGGTACCATGCCCTCTGCTATAAATTTTTCCAATCCGTCGTGGTGCTTGATAATATAATATACCATGCTGATAAGTGTAGACATTCATTCACGATCCCACATGATCACTATAGACTTGGATCAAGTCTGTGTTCATAGCCCAGTTACACTATGTTTATTTCGTTGCCTTTGATAGATAGCACAGCACTGTATGTTGTGAGTTTAATGCTTAAATGTATTTCCTCCTATGTCGGAACGCATATGCCTGAGAGGCAGGGAACCAGCGGTCTGCATACAAGTGAGCCAGATCTGTAAAACAGATATGCACACAAAATTAAAATTCTGGAACAAGACTAAAGTCTAGAAGTGGGCAAACAGCCCAAATTTTCAAGCTGATGAATGCCAGGAAGAAAAGTACAGGGTTTTTCGGAATGATGGATTCACTTTCATTCATGTATATTTACTTAAATATACGTTACATATTAATAATATACAGTCAAGAAAAAGAGGGAGGTCTAAAGTTTACAAACTTACAATAGAGGTTATAGGTGGCTGCCATATACTTCTCTGCAAACATCTAAGTGATAGCTGGAACTCATCCCACACACCAAGAAGCATCGCTTGTGTATCTGAGTTCACTGCAGCTGTGATACGGTTCAGCAGGTCGGCCAGAGTTTTTGGTAGCAGTAGTATTCAAAACTTTAGACCATCTCCCTTATGTGTATATTATTAATATGTAAGTTATATTTAAGGAAAAATACACGAATGAAAGTGTATCAGTCATTTTGAATAACCCTGTATGTTGTTGATAACAAGGCTGTTACAGTAAAGCAAAGTAAGGTATGCTTGTTTAAGCCAGTGTTGCATCAGGCATATGATGATGCTGGACTCATAATTATATAGACCAGTGATTCCCAAACTGTTCGCCACGGCGTCCCAGGGAGCTGCGACCGTTTCACAGGAGTGCCGTGAAATATTCAAAGATACACATGTTTAAATCTCTTACATATGAATATTCACTTTTACTTAGGCTAGGGCGCTGGGGGAAAATTTTAATTGCCAAAAAAAAAAAAAAAAAAAAAAAAAAAAAAATTTGCTGCGACTAAGAAAAGTTTAGGAAACACTGGTATAGACTAATTGGCACTCTAGTGATGTGGATAACATTCTAGTGATGTGGATAACACCACATTTGCCACCTTTACTTCCCATGACATTACCTGGTCCCCAATTAAGACTGAGTCGATCTGGGGGCCAAGGTCAGTTTTGACCAAAAAAATCAGTGATGCAGATTTATATCCATGACCTTTTATGCCAGCAGGCAGACAGTCTCTATGCTATCACGGCTCGCCACACTGCTATTAGTTATGTTAAAAATTACTTATTTGTGCAGTGGTTAGGGCCAAGTTACCAGTGTATGATCCTGTGTCCAGTCCCCAGTAGTTCTCCATGTTGGTTTTGGGGCCTCATTTTGAGGGTAGAAGGGAACAGAAACACTGCCTTTTAACATGTCATAAAAGACAACTAATTAACAATTTGCTGAATTAAAAGCGTTGGGCTGAAAGCTGCAAATTTCACAGCCTAGTTGTAAACCAAAGCATCACGTGCCTATCACCCTTTTATCTATGTATATTTGTGCTTATGGGCTTGCCGGTGCATTCATATATGTGCATAAGTATAGATTTTTTTTCTCTTTGTTAATAAGGGTGACCATTGCTCAGATTCAGAATCTTTTGTAAGTTTTTTTTTTTTTAAATGGGTGTACAATAAATATAATTCGGTTATTTTACCTTTCCCACTGTAGTGACCTTAAACTTGACAATGTCATGTTAGACGCTGAAGGCCATATTAAAATAGCAGATTTTGGCATGTGTAAGGAGCAGATCGTGGGGGACAAAACCACGCGGACATTTTGTGGAACTCCAGACTACATTGCACCTGAGGTAAAACGTGTTAGATATTGTATTCTTCCATGTTGTAGTTGTGATACCATCTCCAGCATCAGCTTCATTATTTTTTTTTACAAGAATCAAGTGAAAAGCTAAATGGTATCAATCTTATTAGATTCATTATCTTGAGTTGAGTTGAGTCAAGAATTGATATCACAGCACTCAAGGCATTCCCATACATGCTCCATCCTCATTTTCAGCAGCCAGCGCAGAGTTCCAGTACTGATGGCACCGGTCACAATCTGGTTAAAAGTGCATCTTGCCTTTCCTCTGAGTGTAGTGAGCCGGCCAGACCCTCTGGTTACACCCATTCTCGCCTCATTCTCTCAGGCCATAATAATCTTCTTTCTCTACTGATTTCGTTGCTTGTTCCCAAAGGGCCTTGACCACATTTGCCTTGTCATGTATCAATTCACCACCCAGTGGTGCAGATCCAGCCAATCTGTCTGGCTGTTCATTACCCACCACACGGACATAGCCTGGAGCAAAAATCCAAAGTATGCTCACCACCCGTGACCTTTCCAGTAAAGCTTGTCACTCTGCTCGAAGCATCCTTGTCCTCACAATTATGACATGTGTATGCATCTTGTTCTCTAGCCACCGGAGAGCTGCAGTTACTGCCTCCACCTCCATTCTCATGCTAGATGTTGTGGTGTAAATTTTCTCTCTTCATTATTTTGTTCTGGGCCAATAAGCATAGGCTGTTATGTTTCACATTCTCACACGATCACCATAATCATCCATTATGTCAGTGTTCTTGTCACACATTTCGACAATATGGCTAATCCATCTTTGCCATTCCCTTGCTTTTTCTCCAAGAGTCTTTACCAAGTTTTCTCAAGTCTGTTCCTTCTTATAACATGACTGGAAAACATTGTGGCTGATTTCTTTAATTAGTTTAAGATTTTCATCTGTCACTAGGTTAATCTGTCCACAAACTATTTGTGTCACCTCACTGTCTTTTGTGCTTGTCAATTCTCTTTAGCTGTGTTAAAGTCGGAAAGTTGTTCTTCTTCCTTCTTCTTCTTTTATCCAGTAGCAGAACATAGGCCCTCACTTGCTCACACAA